AACCTGCATTTGAGATTGCCAAGAAATGACTGTAAGTAATCTAGCCTCTTCCCTCTTATCAGACCAATTACCAAAATAACACTGCTTAGGTGCAATATACTTATTTTGCATAAGCAGTTCAATTTATAGAGAAGAAAAACTAGAAAAAAAAACTAGATACAGACTTCTTAGTTTTTCAGGAGGAAAAAACAAAACAAACAAAAAAAAACACAGCAATACCCTGAGAGACTGAGACAAGGAGGAGTTGTCTAAAATATCTAACAAAATGCAATGCAGCCATGAGCCTACTTTCCCTAGGAGCAATCGAGGCCCTTCTTAACATGGTGGCTCTGCACTTCTCTGTTCAGCAACTCAGACCTGCAACTTTCTTTTTCTCTTTCTCCATCTGCTGGCCATGCTGAAAAGCAGCACAGCAGCAGCATAAAGACATCAGACTCAATTCTGCCCTCACATCAAGGTTCTCCTACAGGCCATTAATAAGGTTTCTCTGTATTTTATATTTCCATAAAAGAGACCAACATCTGTCATGAGACATCTCATTAACACAGCACCAAGAGAAAGGGCAAAAATACATGATCACTGCTAAAAGAAGATGTGTTCATGACACAGCAGGAAGTCTTTTATTCAGTGTCTGTATTGTCAGATTTTTCATCTTGCAGTATTTGAAGCAAAGTTGAAATGGTTAAGCCTACACCCTTCCATAGCATAACAGAGATCTAGTGATGCAATACCTGAACTCGATGGATTTCCTTAGGAAACACCAAGGGCTGATGAAGATACCAAGGTACTGCAGGACAAAACTGTTGTCCCAGGGAGGGTCATATACTCACAGAGAAGAGTGGTTTAGTTGCAAAGAATAGGCAACCTGGCAAACTCCCCACCCTATTTTGTCCCTGCAAGAAGGCAAACAACTTTCCCTTCTCCTTTCACTTCCACAATTATTCACTGGATTTAAAAAGTGCTACAGTCTGAAGACAAAAATACTGTCACTCCACTGCTGCTGTGGCTTCAGGTACACCCCACACTACAATCAATTAACAACAAGGGCCATTTCCTTACTGCTGCTGCAGGAAAACAACCACCAAATAGTCAAAATTCCGGGCAGGCTTTCCCAGAGAAGATTGCTCTGCTGTTACATGCAGTGCTGGGCTTAGCTGTCAAACAACACACTGACTGGCAGCTGGAGCGACAGCGCTTTCAAAACGCTCAGCAGCCTCAGCAGCCAAAATCCCACGGACACAAACAGGGCTGGATCTGCAGAGCCCTTATAATGGGCCCTTTTGCCCATTAATACAGATAGTCTGGGTTTATTGCTCCGCCAGTCACTAGCACCCACCTGTCTTTCCTGCTACCAAGTTTGCTGCAGTGCTCCCTCCACACAGGGATCTAAGTCAACTCACCTATTTAGAGTCACTGAAACCTCATATAAAGAAATTGCATAGGGGAGAACAGAGCTGGGCTGCAAATATTAAGCAGGTTTTGTCTTGCAGTACTTTAGCAGCACCCAGTTAAAGCTGCTTAAAGCAGCAATTTCAAGACGGTAACTGAGCGCTAAAGTGGTTGTGTTTTTTAGCTGATATATATGAGCACTAAGTTGTAATATGAAGGAGCATCACAAACTCAGCAGGTCCAAACAACAGTGTTTACTAAAAAGTACTTACAACATGCAAAGTGTGTCATGAAAGCAGACTCACGTATATACTATTTGTATATACTATTCCTGTAGTACGTACAGTAACTATACTATACGTACTACAGCAGGTATGTAAGTAAGTGCACTATTTTGGAAAGCTTCCATGAGAGGAAATGCACTTACACCCTGAAGGAAAATTTTAACGATACTACCAACAGGTCCAACATGATAAAAGAAGCAAATAAAAGCATGCGAAAATTATTCCTTGTAGTAACATAAAACTACCAAGATTGGAGTGAATTTCCAAGTATTTGCAATTTTTGTATGAAAATATTGTTAAAATCATATAAATGTAACCGGGTTCTGATGTGCCTTCAGCTGATGCCAAATATACAAGCAGTTTAGTAGACACCTGTCCCAATAACTATTCTAGCTGCCACATAGCAGTACTGTTACTAGATTTTGTTTTCTATCACTGTGGAATCTTAAGTATTTTGACATCCTCAGCAAGCTAACAACTGCTCATTACTGCTGACCTGTATAGCAAGACAAAGCTAGAGTTCAGCCCATAAAATCATGCTCCAAAGGTCATGGAATACAGAGGTAATTATGATTTGAAATTTTGAGTTTGAACTAAAAAGCCCCAAAACATACCTAGAAGCCTTTATTTGCTGTTAGTAAGATTTCTTCAAAGAATTGTTCTAAATTTAGAATTTGTATCAAAAAGTAATGACAAGAGTACCATAAACAGATGATCCAAGTGATATACACGCACAAAAAAAAATACTGATTTGAAATGTGTCAAGAAATAAACTGCCTTGAATTAAAACACAGATATTTCACAAGAATAACACTGTCTTGCAATTTTGCTTTAGGAACCTGATGAAAAACCAGATCTCACTAAAGGGCTGAATTTTAAGACAGTAAGGAAACTCAGAATTTTCCTCCCTCACTTTATGTAATTATTAACAAAACCACAGCTAATCTTTACGAAACTATAGGTCATCTACAAACATAAAATCTTTACATTATAGCATTTCTACAATCTGTCATCTAATTCTATCTCTATATACCAGCACTGTATTTATAAATTTAACATTGCAATTATTTTCCCTCCGTAATGATAGGCTTCAAATACATACAAATTAGCTGATGGGTAGTGATTCTAATAAACTAGAGACTAAAGTGACAGCATTATACCAACATCTGGGACCTTGTGCTTACCTCCCTTCTGGAGCAAGGGTGGGTTATTAACAGCCAAATTGATGCTTACCAAGTTATAGGAATTCATCCATTGCCAAAATTGGATACTGCATGAACGTCACAGTTATCCTGGGGATCAGACAAAGCAATGAGCAACTTAAGGAGCTAGATTAAGTGGAGCTACTTTGTGGCATTAGCTGTTACCTTTGGGTTTAAATGCTGAATTTAAAAGGCTGGCAGGCTGATGCAAAAGTGAGGAGGAAGAATGTTCCAAACAACAGGGAAGGTTCTGTAGTTACAGGAGATGTTGGATGGATAAGCACCTGCAGCGATGCCAACCGGGGAGGAGAACAGCTGTTATGAATCTGTGATAAATCCATATATTGTTTTCTAAACACAACAATGGAAGTTGAGAACTACTGCGTTTCACAGTATGTTGATTGCTATAAAGTTTCACACACACACAAAAATATTTTTAAGTACAATTCACTAGCCTGACCACATGTGTACCTGTGACTTCAATGAGTCAGACAATATTTTATTCCCCAGCTGTTGGAAATAAAAGTTAAAAATATTTTTTAAAAAAAATTCTTCAAATTCATGCAAGCCCACCTGATTTATTTAGGAGCTCCACAGGTGAACTCTAATTCAGGAAAGCACCTGTTTTAAGTCAAACATGCTCTCCCCCAAAAAGAAGCATCAAAGAAGGTGTTGATGATTAGGAAAATATAAAAAGGAAAGAGCTTGAGGGTCTGTTTTTGCTCTTGGTGCCATCTGGAAACAATCTCCATCTGGAAATAGCATGAATATGATTTTATGCAGGTTCCTTCTTTGCCAAACTTATAACATTATCATAGTGAATAAGCATCTTGGGGAAACTCTTCTGATTTTACAGGCAGCCAAGCTAAGGCTAACTAAGGCTAAAAAGCCAGATGATTATTCATAGATATATAAGGTGATTTCATGGCTTTTCTTAATTTTCTTTCACTGCATGAGCTAAACATTTATAAAAGAACCACTCTATCAACTGCATTCCCTTACTGTGCTGCCCTGTTTTACAGGGCCTTACACAGCTGATGCTGTTATTCTTTCCCGCAGTCCAACCACCTTAACTACATCCTTCAAGCTCTGCCCTCAGAGCAGGATCCATGGTAGGATGGATTTCCCCCATTCCATGCCAAATTTGCAGGTTCTGTAATCTTTGGGACAAAGTGCTAGACATATTATTCTTAAATTCAAAGCTGTTGTAGAACACAGGGCTGTACCTGGCACGCGGATAGCAAGTTAAATTATCTGTGAACAAAGGGTCAGGCACCAGATTTAGTCCCTTCTTCTTAATGCTTTGGGCTGCAGCAGTCTGTCTTAAAAGCAAAAAAGAAGTTTTGGTTTAAAGCAAAGGCTGTGAAGAAAATGTCTTTGGAACCGCTTTGAAAAGGGTTTTCGGTGCCACCTTACCTTTTTCACTTCATTTATTTCCTTCCTTTGTTCTTCAAACTCCTTGCACGCACCCACTCTTAGGAGCTCATTACAGGAGAGCGGTAGGACCCAGGGCTATAAAGCTTGTTCTCACTTCCAAATTTCTCCCAGTAACATACTCCTAATTCATCTTCTAACACTGTAATTTCTTCAGTGAAAGTCCTCTCTGTGGTTATCTGGTAAGCACACCCCCTTACCATCCTGATATTATTAGAAATACTACACTGCTCCCAATACACATGACCATACTCAAGTGAAAAAAAAGGGAGAAAGAGGCACAGCAGGCTATCACAAGTCAGAAAAGAAGGAAATCTCTCTACTTTTTGACTCTGAGTCACAGTGAGTAACAGATAATCATAAATCTTCCTGAAAAGCTTTGAGGTAATTTGCAGGATTCGTGGACACATCATCATATATAAATGAACTGATCAAAGATGGTGAACAATTTTTACTTTTCTAGTATATTGCAAATGCATGTGGGAAGCCTTGTTTTTAAAAAGTCAAAAATCTGAAAGCATGTATTTTCCCACACTCTCAATTAGTACTAAAACAAATAAAAATACAGGAGACTTTATAAAGAAGTTGGAAAATAAAATACATATGAATGAAACAAAAACCTTATCTACAGGTGTTCATGCACTAAGCAGTCCAAGTCAATCATAAATCCATTCACACACACATATTTAAAAATAAAGTGCAGCATTTTATTACTGTAGATGCTTTTTCTTTTTAATAATCTGAGACTGTCTTAGCTCCTCAGTCCCATGAGCATATGGACAGGATTCAGAAGGCAAAGAACACCCATCAGGATGATGAAGGAAAAACCAACAGAGACGAGTTTTAAATGCTTCAGCTGAAAGGCGTCGTTTTACTTCGGGCTTGTTTTTCCTTGATGGTTTCTCTTTTCTCCAGTCACGAATATGAACTCTCCCATTTAGAACTAGGATTTAAAAACAAACAAAAACATAAAACTGTTAATAGAGAGTCAGGGGAATTGTACTGGAATAAATGCACAGTGACATCCTGTGAATAAAATACATATGCTACAAATGGATCGCTCGGGGAAAACCAAAATGCACCATTTGCACAGAAATAGAAAGATGTGCACAACAAACTGAGATAATGTAGACATGGTCTAAGGAAGAATTGATTGATTGTCCCTGTGAGATGTTTTGCTGTCATGGCAAACAGCCTGAAGCTCCTTTCTATCATCTTTTTAGAGAGTTTGTTTGTTTCCCATATTTTTCCCCCAAATACCGTTTAGGACAACATAAATTAAAATCCTCTAACTTCAGATTTCAACTTCTGAACCTTCTATAAACATTAATTTTTCCCTTGTTCAAAACTTCCCTACTCCACATTTAAAATATGATCTGCAGCAAAAACCTCTAGTAAGAGCCTTTGGCAACTTTAACTAGAAAGAAATATAAAGACAACAGTTCAACTGACCTAAGCACAGACGGCACAGAAGAGTTGATAAGTCTAATATTGCACAGCAATCAACAGTGAAGGGTAGAAACCATCATATCAACAGGGATTGAGCACGGCACAATTCCTTTTGGTTCTTAATTTGGGCAGGGGGGTGGGGAGGGCAATGGGACGTGACGCATTTACTGTGTCAGGACTCAGCACCATAAATTGCACACACATTTATCTGTGAGTATCTGTCCACAACTTACACATGTCAGGAAACAGAACAGAGAAAAGGAAAAATAGAGAGAGAAAGAAGTATGTGAAAAAAAAAACGTGTAAGGAAAAGAGAACAGAGCAAAGGAAAAATAGAGAAAGAAAGAAGTATGTGAAAAGAAAAGAAAAAAGAAAAAAAAAACAGTTAAAAAAACAGTTAAAACAAGCCAGAAGAATCTAACACTCGTTAATTGCCATATTCCATTTTCATATTCTGTAGCTGTATTCTATATCTAAATCTATATCCTCTGCATCACACTTCTCTAGCTTGGAACATTTAACCCATGCCATGCTGTGTTCTGAAGCCAGCTATCCAGGCTACCACAGGCTAAACACATCGAGCCTTGTACAGTCTAAGGTTTGTGATTAGAGTATTTTTATCCTCTCTTGGCATTTATTTATTTCGTGGGGTTTATTAAGCCCCAGCTAAAGCTTAGTGAAATGCTTTAATGAAATTACTCTGTCTTCACTTCTGCCCTCTCCAAAAAATCATTACAGGAAAAATGAAAGTTCTCTCTAGTTAGGCTATAGCATCCAATTAACCATTTTAAATCAAAGGCTGCCCCGCTACAGAGCTGTCTTTTCAGATACAAGTGGTCTAAGAGAACAGCCCTTTGCTGACAGCTCCTTTCCAGTCTTAGTCAAAGGAGTGTTAACTAGGAGTATCTTGCAGCAAAAAAGTGGCACATCAGCACCACCCAGGCTCCCGCGAAGGTGTATGCAGTGATTAAATAACTCCCACCTCTGTGGTAAGTAGAGAAGCACAGGAAAGCTATAAAACAGATTATTACGGGAGGAGAAAAACAATCAAACCAAAACAACAACAACAAACACTCTCTCTGCCATCTTTACCTTCAAATACTTGATGGCTATTCTTGAGTAGGGTCTGCAAGCCTCCATATTCACTCTTCAGCCTTTTTAATGTCTCTTTATTTAAGTGCTCTGCTACTTCTTTCAAGGAAAGGCTTTCTGCAATGAGTAATAATGCAGATATTAAATACATACATTTACTAAGAAAACCTGCTTCTCCCACTAACTCTTAACTTCTGCATGAATTAAAAGTTACAAGCAGAACCTATGAACTACCTACAAGCACTGCAGCAACTTTGTGCTCCTAGTACCATGCCCGGTATGTATTGCATATGTATATTGTCTGTAAAATGGAAGCTTTCACTCCACAGGTGTCAAAATTTCCACAAATGAGATGCAATTTACCACACTACACACACATTTTTAAACAGCAATATAGTGTCCTCATTGAGCTAAGCACCATTTTTATGCATGTAGGACAGAGACTCTGACTTGGGATCTCCTAAAACATACGACAGAAGACTGAGGAAAATAAAAAGAGGATAGCAGTGGCCTAGAATTATAAACTGTGTTTATAAAATTAAGAGAAACTTCTATTCTTTTTCTTTGAGACTAATCGAAACATTCCCAGTCATGCTATGAGCAAATGGCACCACAAAGCACTTCTTGCAGAATTATAGCCAGTAATTATGTGACTATCCAAAAACAAGACTAATATTCACCCAAAACAGGTATAGACTGATGTGCTTTGGACAATGGGGAGCAGTTTTGTTTTGTTTTTAAATACAGTATTGATTTTGGCTTAGTATGTAAGTGTAGAGAAAAAATATAAAGCAAATAATACAAAATGGAATTCATATGCCTTATTTACACCCCAGTGTGCAAAAAGACAGTGTTAAAAAAGTCTCTATCTTTCCAGCAGTGCTTACAATTACTTTTTTGCATTGCTAATAGAGATTGTTACATTACTGTAAATCTAGAGTGAACAATAATGCACTTTATTGGAAAAACAATCTCACCTCCTTGATTCCAGTTGTTTGTACTCACACTATCTGTATTACAGCATGATTTTTCTTGGGTTGCATTTAACAGCAGGTTTGCCACACTCAGAACCACCTCATCTACAAAATCCCGAGGGAGAGTAGCGCAATTCCTGACTTGCTCTTCTTTCTGCCGGGGCTGAAATCCAGGCATCCAAACTCTGCCAGCAGTCTCAGTCTCAGCTCCAGGAAACTCAGTGCCTGCCTCTTTGCACACACTGTCAGAGCCATCGTTATGATTCAATCCAGTTCTTCTATCATGTGAGACCAGAGCACAAGGCTGACGATTATGAATATACTGGGTTATCTGCTTGTCAATCACAGCACATTGCACAGGTGAATAGGTCCTGTTTTTCCCAATAAGGCACACCTATTTCAGCAGAAACAGGTAAATCGTTATTTCTATCACAGTATTTATGGAGTCCAATGTTATACACAGTCCCTCAGCCTGCACATGACATGGAGGTTTCCAAATCTATCCAAAGGAGATGTCCATTGGAATTCAATGCTCTTTAGTACGAGGTTTATTTATTTATTTATTTATGAAATGATGGAAAAAATCCAGTAATCAAATTGTAATGCATCACTCCAACAAGAACAAAGAGATTTTTCCTGGACCTCAGATTACTTCCAAGATTAAGGCTTAACTCCTCTTTTTACTTTGAGGATATTTCACTTTGAAATTCATGGGACACACATAATCAGCAATACCTGAGGTAAAAGAAACCAACGAAGATAGTTGGGAAATTAAGGTGAAAAGTGAGAGTATGAGTTTTTCATCCTATGATGCATAAGAAATATCCATAAAATTTCCACTCTTTGTTGTCTTTGAAATTATACCTCTGACCTTAGCAGATCAGTATTTTTAATGTGTCCTCTGAGAACATTCTCTTAAGTAATGCTGTTGACTAAAGCCTGGTCTTATACAAGAGTAATAATGATCCATATGCTTCAGATAGCTAGCAGCATTATTTAAAAAAGAAATTTAAAAATACCCTTTTAGTTGAGGGAATTCTAAGGCAATCTTCTTCTACATGAAAGCCACATACTAATCCCACTTGGGAAACAAAATCAAGATATTCTCTGTACTGAGTCTTTTTGCTTTGTCTTCGGCTATACTTTCCATGGAAATCAAAGAAGCAACATGGCAGCACAAAATAGCAGCAAGAATAGGAAGACCTACAAGAAGAATGATAAATGGGCATAAATGTTAAACAAAATACACACACAAGCAGTAACGGCAGTTTTTAGGAAGTGAAAAGGCTTCAAGAAATAATACAAGTACGTTCCCCTTTCAGTAATTCCATTAGTATAAGCAAAGATATTGTTTTGCAAATAATTTGTCACAGAATATTACTATGGTAAATTGATTGGTTTGTGGCACTAAATCTCTGGACATGAACCTACTGCAACCAGTTGTGATGAGCAGAACAGTTCAAAAAAAAGGCAGCACAGCAGTAATTTTTCACAGAACTGAAATCTAAAAAATGAAAATCAATTCCATTTTTGAATTTCAAAAACTAAATGCTATACTATTCTTAATTCTATAACGCATAAGTATTACTTCCACACTTCCTTATGAAAACTGTATGGGTAATCAGCTGGCATCATGGGCCCCAGGCTCTGCAGAAAGGACAGCTGCTGCAATAACCAGTTTGTACCCTCTCTTTTCCATACCTAGCTGCAATCACAGGTATCCATGGTGTTAATTCATCTGAATGGTTTCCTATCAACCAGTCAACTTCTGGGAAGAGATGACTGTCACCTGGCATGATTGTACATTCCTAAGAAAAAAAATAAAAAAACACAACAGCAACAGACAACAAAGAATACGCAAATGTTATTATATTTGAATACATTTTATTTCTTAATAAAACACTAAAGCAAAATATAAACATTAATTAGCTTTAGAAAAACTCTATTCAGATATTCTATGAAACATGATGAATCCTTCACATGGGTTGAATTTTAAGAGTTCCAGAGAGCCTTTAAATGTCTTTCTTGCACTCACATATTCTTACTCAAATGTTTCTAAGACCTGTTTAGCTCAAGAAACACGAAGGACAACAACAACAAAGAAAAAAAAGAGAGAACCAAGCTCAGAAAACAAAACACACACACATTTGAAGATGTTCATATTACAAAGTTATATCATAATCTTCTCCAAGAATGCATATGAATCTCCCAATTCTTCCAAATATTTGGAAGATTTTTAAAAAAAATAAAGATAAAAAATAATCATGTTTGAAATATAAATCTCCACTAATATTTCAATAAAGCTCTAAAAATAGTTCCAGTTCTTCTGTTTTACCTATGTTTTATGTTATTTAATGTGCGTTTAAGTATTTTCTCTGGCTAAACATTCATACACATGCAAAACAGTATCTGTATAGAAATTCAGAAGAAATAGTTCAGGACTTCAGAAACCTCAGAATACCTCCCCTCTGGCCCATATTCTCCCTTCAGAAAGCACTAGTTTGGCATTTTAAGCCTTAGTAAGGTGTATCACTGTGTACTTTAATCACTGTATCTCTGTCCATTTTTGTAGCATACAAGAACATATTCAGATAATCTGTACACTTAACATTCGTGGTTGACACGATAATATATGTTAATCCAAGTGTTCAATATATTTTTCTTATGGCTGATTAAATGAGTTTCATTTTTGAATAGTGAATTTAGACGTAGTCTTGAGCTATCAGTGCCATGTTCTGCATTCTGCCAGCTGTTCATACCAAACTCGTATTCCCCATGTCTGACAGCAGTTTGGTGGTGCTGCCCGCCACCTGTAACATCCTTATTGTAGGTACAGGCACCAAGTGTCACAGATGGCAATATCTGTCTTGCAACTCATGCTTTAGATAAAGATCAAAGCAGTATTAACTTCCAAGGGGAACACACAGGCTGTGAGGAGGTGCTTTTGTCTTCCACCACCCCTATCACTAAGGAAGTCCTACACAGCAAGCAGGAAGAAGGAATTATGGTTTTCCTCCCAACTCCCTCCCACACAAATTAGTGCTTTGCTCATATGCAAATTTGGGATTTTTTCATATTTTTAAGTATTCTGTGTGAATTTTTTATTTGTCTTCAGTAAAAACAAAACCAAACCATTGTTTTAGTGCAAAGATTGACAGTTAATACTCAGGCATTTTCCTAAGTGTCAAGAAAAATAAGAAATTGTAAATGGCAAATCGTTTATATGAAATAAGTATGCAAAATTTGCTGTTCTCTGCAATACAGAAAGCAGCTAGGACAGAAAAAAGAATATAAAACAGGAAGGAAAACTAAGTGTGAGCAGATGTATTATAGTATATTTATATTTGATGTACTTATGTATATATTGGTATGTGTAGATATACATTTAAATATATGTGTGTGTGCATATTATATATATAAAAATTAAAAAAATGAGAAATATATTTTATTAACAGTATAAAGGGAATGAACTAGAACTGTTGCTTGGCGCTTCAGGTTATTTTGTCTTGAATCTTTTAAATAAGTTCTGTTTGTAGACTATATAAAGAGTTTGGCAGGTCTAGCTATCTGTAACCAAAATACAGGCTGGCAAAGGGTTCCACAACAGTAAACTTCCCACCCTTCCTCCATCTCTCAAAAGTGAGAATTGCTGTTTGGTTCAAATTGCTAGCACTCAAAGATACATTCAATACTATTGTTAAGCAAATTTACTGGAGAGTAACTACAGAAGGAAAATTCCCTTAATATGCCATATAATTAATACAATACCATGAGAATGGGGTGAGAAGATTCTGAAAACTAGAGAACAAGAAACCAGGAACACCTCACCTCCAAAGGGCAGTCATTCGTCAGTGCTAAGATTTAATGAGTATCAGAGCAAGAACAGCTGGAGTTAAAATGAATGTTCCTGTGAACTATTTCTGTTCTCATAAACATGCTAATGTGGAATTTGAAATACAATCCCTCTTTCAGACTCATTTTCCTGTCCAGTTTTCTGCAGGCTATTATTTGAACAACTTACCTCAAAGTCAGTACAGCAAGGAACTGGCTCCTCTGAGGCTCAACAGTTTTGTCACAAAACAGCACAGAGCACTCTAGAAGGTCAGAACCACTTTCAGAGCAGTTCTGTTATTAATTCAAGAATAAACTATTCATAAATTGGAACATTCATTCTTTTATAAGGTACAACAGTGTAAAAAATGCTTCTGGATATTAACCTTTCAGCAAAAAGGTTTCATAATGTGCATGAAAATAGAAACAGGAAAAAAAAATCTCACTACTTTGTTTCGGCTGAAAAAAATCAGAAAATTGAAAATGTGCAAGGATGTGATATTGCATTGCTTTATCAATTCTCTTTGCAAATAACTTACAATACCACAGGAGAGATGACTGTCATCATACCAAGCCCATAGAACATTGCAGACAACTATCAGTTTTATAGAACCTGGTATGTTTGATTGTATTTGCATAAACATAGCCTGAGGTACTGAACAAATGAATAAAGTTACAAACGATTGAGATTGACATACATTTGCATTATACCTCTAAATGAGTTTCTGGTCCATACATGTCCCATATTTTTCTCCTCCTCACATCAATGCCTCTACCTGAATGCTGAAATATTTAAAGAAAAAAAAAGTATAATTTAAAAAACTAATTTTACCAGAAATTTTCATACAAGCTCACTAAATCCACCTATAAACATGGATTATTTATTTCACACTAAAATTTAGATACATAAAAAACAACTTCACTATTTCGGAAGTTGAATACTAACTAAATCAAAAGGAAGAGACTAGGAGACATTTAGAATATGCCTGGTTCATAATTTGATCTTGGCACATCTACTTAGACTGTTTTTGAAAATGTGGCCCACAGAAGTATGAGGAAAGTCAGATCTTTGTAATAAAACCTTTCATAAAGTTTCTATTACTGCTGTAGTAATGGGCACTGTGTCCCAAGGCTCAGGGAAGAGTCCAGGCGAAGCAGCCCGTACTGCAAGAACAACCTTCCAATTCCTGAAGTCAATACGGCTGTTGGACTCCATTTCCAAACACACAAACCCCCACATTTTGTGTAACTCTCAGCCACGGGATGCTTTGTCCATCAACAACATGTTTCTCAACGCTACAGCAGTAATAACTTAATAACATAAGAAGCACGTATAGGGAAAATAATCTCCTTCTGGATCAAATCTTTCTGACCACACAAAGTTAGAAAAGCTGGGTATTGAAAAGCTGGGTATTTTTCCCAATGATACCACTTGATCCAACTGGAGGTAATAGTTTCCTCTACAAACATTACTGTATTTTCCCAAGAGTGGAAAAGGCAGTTTTCCAAAATGGACAGACTGAGCTTCCCTGGGTATTGTTGAATCTGTGACCTTTTTTGCTGTTTCAAGACTTTTTTGCTGTTTCTTTTCTGCTTGTTTCAAAAATTATGCATTGAGAAACTGAATTTTGCAGTACTTCTGATTTCAATCCTCAAAGCACAGTACATTGTTAGGACTCTTCCTGGCTACAAATACCAAGATTGTTACTGAAGACATGGAAAATATTTTTCAAGACACAATACATAGACTTCAGCTTAAAAAAAAAGGTTTACAAAAAACATCTAATTTAAAGTCACTTGTGAGAGAGAATCTCTATTTTAAGAATTCCCATTGCCTTACTCATGTGTTAAACATAGCTACATATGTCACTACTTTTTCATTTTTCATTTCTTACCCAAGAAAGATAAACAGCCTTCAGGGCAAGTAATTGTACTAATAAAAAAATAAATTAAAGGCTTCTAAGTTTCTGCTACAATGTGTTCCTGGTAACTAGAAAACTACAAAATGACAAAATCTTGTTCATGTTACTATATGAATTAATTAAATTTTGAATATTTGCATGCTAGATAAAAGAAGAACAGAATAAGAATACTGAATTAACTACTTTTTACAAAGCACACACACACACACACACCCACACACACACTGTTTACCCCTTCATTGCTCAGAATGTGAACCAGTAGACCATTTCCACAGCCGAGATCTACAAATGACTGTTTCTTGGACAACCCCTTTTCCTTTCTCTCTTCTTCCCAAAGAATCTAATACATGAAAAAAATACACATTTTAGAATTATGCTCTCAACATTTACCTTAAAAGGCACACTCCATATAAAAGTCATTAACAGCTTTGGTGCTCAGTTGTGAGTAAGAAAATTCATACAGGCATCTTGTGTTCTGCCACACATGCTCAAAAACATTAACACCTTAACTGAGCACTTTAGCACCTGTGTCTTGCTTAGACTATGAGAGTCACACATTAGGCATGTGCAGCTCTATCACTGGAGTGTTTTACCCATCTAGACTCCATTCGCATTACAGTATATGGTATCCCATCTCCAGGATATTGCAGTTGAGCATCAAAGGGTTGTTATAAGCAACCATGGCTTACTATTAACACAAGGTAAGAAGGATAAAGACTGTTTTCAAATTCCAGTAGAGTAACAGATTCTCTACCTTGTCACAATGAGGTACAAAAAAGGTAGGGAAACTGACCAAAATTATTTCAGGGAGGGAACTACAACAGCAACAGATTAGTAGGTGTGTTCCCAGTTTTAATAGTCCTGCAAAGGATGTTGGGAATGAAAGGACAGGACTGAGAATCAGTGCAGATGTGACAGAAGGAAACTACTGCACTCACAGAGAAGATAACTTGAGGAAAAAGGCCTTAAACAGCTTCAGAGGAGGGAGGGTGGAAAGCATGTTTTAAAATATCAAACATATTGTGAACTACTAAGCATCCTCCACTCACTTCTGAGTCACTAGGAGCTGAAAGAAATGACAGCTATACCAGACAGGTATATGTATCATCACCTTCTAAAGAAAACACAAGTCACTTGCCTGAAAATATTCAGTTGCCCCAAAGTATAGATCAACCAAAGAGAACTCAAAGCTTTTAGCCCAGTTTTAATCTGTGATCCATATAAAAGCACTTATTTTCATGCAGTTATTTAAAACTGCCACTTGCTAATTTACCAGTTTTGTTGGAGAGAAAGAAGTTGCAATTATCCCATGAGAATATCAGGTCAGATTTGTGTTTGCTACTCCTCCCAGTTTGGTATCATCAGCAAACTTGCTGAGAGAGCACTCTGTGCCTTCATCCAGGTCATTGATGAATAAATTGAACAGGACTGGACCAAGGACTGATAAAGACTGTTTTCAAATTCCAGTAAAGTAACAGATTCTCTACCTTGTCACAATGAGGTACAAAAAAGGTAGGGAAACTGACCAAAATTATTTCAGGGAGGGAACTACAACAGCAACAGATTAGTAGGTGTGTTCCCAGTTTTAATAGTCCTGCAAAGGATGTTGGGAATGAAAGGACAGGACTGAGAATCAGTGCAGATGTGACAGAAGGAAACTACTGCACTCACAGAGAAGATAACTTGAGGAAAAAGGCCTTAAACAGCTTCAGAGGAGGGAGGGTGGAAAGCATGTTTTAAAATATCAAACATATTGTGAACTACTAAGCATCCTCCACTCACTTCTGAGTCACTAGGAGCTGAAAGAAATGACAGCTATATGACACTTGGCTAGAAAAGCATAAATGTAAAATAAGCTGCTAAAGCAAAGGGCACACAAGGTAACCAAAGGAAGAAAGGGAAGTAGCAAGCAAGTTTGAATGATGTGTCCCTGATGAGCACCATGGAAGTAGTTATAACTGTTGTACGAAAGGTAGAGAGTTGCTGCCAGAGTTGGAAAAACAAAAAGTGTCCTGTGTACCAGACAGGTATATGTATCATCACCTTCTAAAGAAAACACAAGTCACTTGCCTGAAAATATTCAGTTGCCCCAAAGTATAGATCAACCAAAGAGAACTCAAAGCTTTTAGCCCAGTTTTAATCTGTGATCCATATAAAAGCACTTATTTTCATGCAGTTATTTAAAACTGCCACTTGCTAATTTACCAGTTTTGTTGGAGAGAAAGAAGTTGCAATTATCCCATGAGAATATCAGGTCAGATTTGTGTTTTTTAATGTATAAGTAACTGCAAATTTGCACTCCAGGCTGTATCCCAGAATACCCCTATCACTTCCTACACAGATAAAAAGCTATCCCCCATTCTCTGCCGATCTTCTTAGGATGCAGAATGCATAGGCACTTCTTTGGGCACATCCCTAGGCAGTTGCTAAGCTTATGATTGCAGAACAAAACAAGGTGAGATGCCCCCAACCCCATCATCTCTATCTAGTTGCCATAAATTCATAATAAGTTAATAGTGAACCTATCTTCAATATGTCAATTAACTGTTTAAACTGTCAATTGACTGTTTACAAAAACAGCCAACGCTATAAGCAGGTCCTATATGAGTTATGCAAATAAGTTATGTAAACAAGTTATGTAAATATTTACAAATATTTATTTAGAGAACACTCTGAACTGTAGAAAGAAAGGCATTTTCATGCCTACACAGTGAAAAATCTAGATGTTGTCTCCAGAGCTGAAGTTTCTAGTGACATGGTTTCTAACGTACATGGTAGCACTTTCAAAGACTCTTTCCTAGGTAGGTGCCTTAGAAAATTGCACCAAACACCCCACTACGTTCCTAGATGTACATAAATCTACTATAGGTGGGCTTTATATTGCACCTGAGGATGGAATTTGACCTGAAATTACATCAGGGAAACAAAGCAGTGAAAACATTTTTAGCACCCCATTAACAAATAAGTGATAGAAATGGGTATAAAACCATAGCTTATCTCCAAACTAGACACTATTATTTCCCTGATGCCTCAGTGCTTTTGGACCTAATCACCTTAAATATACAGTTAGTCTACTTAGGTCACCAACCACTTGTGAAAGAGAATTGCAAATCTTTATGATATATTGACAAAGAAATTTCATTTTCCTTCTGTATTCAATTTTCACTTGCTGCATTTATTTTTTGTGGCATAGGGTAGTAATAAAAACAGTTTCACTGATTCTCATTTTACTATCACATTTAACTTTCCTTTTCTAAAGGCCTGTTTTTTTGTAATCATTTGTTATATGAAAATCTCTGTAGTTTGATAGTACTCTCAAGGGCATTTCAAACTCAGTTGGAACTTAGCTATAGCCACAAATTCCACTATTAAAGTTGCACGCTGTGAACACTGTAAATCTTCTGTCCCACCTCTTAAATGAAAAAAAGGCAACCAAAAAACTTAACTTTCCCCCCCCCCTTCTTTTTTTAGTTTGCAGATTCATAATAACTGTATCTCACTGTATTCTAAAGAATGTAATAGCAATAAAATGAAAGTGATGATGCTTGGAGAGGTTTTATTTCTTCCCACTCACGCAAAGCAGTTCCTTACCAGCAGATAAGCAGCAATGGCAACATCTTCGTATACAAATTTCTCAGGATCTGTTACTTCAGGCCACACCTTCAAAAAAAAAAAAAAAAAAAAAAAAAAAATCTCTAAACCAAAAAACAATTTCTAAGCCATCCTGAACTAATCTGAATAGCTCAGAGTGATTTGGATACTCTTATCCATTAACAGTCTCTAAATTTAATGAATTTCACATTTTAACTTCATTAAAAATACAAAATTAATGTAACAAAGAATTAGTTTTTTTTATGATTTGCACAAGAGTAATGGGATAAAGAACACCTAGTAATATCTAATTAATAAAGTTTCCATGAAAATTATTACTCCAAGTGTGTAACTCACAAGTAAACTGCCTCAGTGTATAGAGCATCTATTTATCCTTTTGCTTACTGCTGTTCTCAGGGGAAAATGCTCATTCTTTTGCTATATGCAGCATCATTAACACTGTTATTAATAAGCCTATTTTCATAACATATGAGGGCATAAACTTATCCTAGCACAATACCATGAGGATGCAAAAGGTGATGCAAAAGAAGCAGAGAGATATTATTCCTCTTGTAAATGAAGCACTGAGACAAAAATTAAAATGATTTGCTCAACAGTATACAACATTTACTTCAGAACTCAAGACTTAACTAGTTCACAAGCCAGTACCTTACCATAAGCCCAAGTTTCCCTTAATATTATTTTTATTAGTGTAAAAATACCATCAGCAAATCCTTTTAATATTTTCAAAGTAATATTTTATAAAAGCATTTATCCATTTTTTCTATGTAGTAAACTTATGGTGTATGATACAGATATTACTTCATAGAGTATTTAAAATGACCATTGTTATTTTTAGGGCTATCAAGGATGAAAAACTACTAAATCATTACTCCTCCTGTTCAGAAGTACTTATCAATACAGCATCTATATTTAACAGTAATGCAAAATTTAGCCTGCTTGCTAACCAGTGCTGCCTATAGATTCCTGGACTTAGTGTATAAATAGGTGTTATACTTGTGCTTTTTAATACGGATGACTTGGTGCCTTTCTCCACTAACTTCATTAATTGTTATCTGAAGGGATACATTTCAGAAAAAAATGTAACTTGCCAGGTAGTTAGTGGCTCAAAAATACTGTTTTTCAGTTCAGTTCTTCTTAACAGGAAATAAGTAGTTTCACTAAACAGCAAATAACTCCAGAAAAGCACATTACTATTACTTTTCATTGACAAACTTACCTTTACCATCTCTTTATATTTTTCTTTAAGTTCTTTATAAACCTGGCTGTATTTTGCCACTGGAATGAGTGAGAGTGTGCTTTTAAACTCACTGTGCTTTTCCTCCACAGACCATTTAGCCAGTTTGGGCAGCAGCTCATTTTCAAGCCATGTTAATTTGGGATACACAATTCCATCTGAAAACCAATGTTCTGCCGATGACACTGCAATAGATATAGACCTTTAAAAATAAAAGAATTCGTATAAATACAGTGTTTTAATACTTTAACTACCTCAAGAGAAAATAAAATCATACAAAATGTAAGTAGAGAAAAATCACATTATCAAAGGTGTAAAAGTACATTGAGAAGAAGAATGTAATTCATAAAAACAAAGAAAAAAAACAGTCAACTTCCTGAATAAGAGAACAATCTCTCTCGAATTTTGTAGGCCTCATATCTGCTAATCCAAACACTGCATTTGAAAGTGTAGAATCATAGAATGCTTAAGGTTGGAAGGGACCTCTAGAGGTCATCTAGTCCAACCCCCCTGCATACGCAGGGACACCTAGAGCACGTGGCACAGGACTGCGTCCAAGCGGGTTTTGAAGATCTCCAGAGAAGGAGACTCCACAACCTCTCTGGGCAGCCTGTTCCAGTGCTCTGTCACCCTCACTGTCAAGAAATTTTTCCTTAAATTCCCGTGGAACTTTTGAGTCTGTTCTACTTATATCTACCACAAAAACAACCTATGGATTATTATATGATGAACAACTTGATTCAATACGCTAATCCAAAGGATAACAAGAAACAGTGAATAATTCATGAAAATTAGTAAATCAGTACATTTAGCAGGAAAAATTACCACTAAGCACTTTTCACGCTCTTTATTTTAGATCTCTTTAAAGCTATGCAACCCACCCACCGATACAATCATGTCCTCAGATGCACTGCAGGATGAAGCTGCAAATGTCCAGATTTTAACGACTGAAGCGCTGCAGGTCCCAAACAGAAGTTTCCAATTCTAGCCTGAAGCTTATTAAAGACCAAAGAACCTGACATTTCCCAGGGCTGTAAGATGGCTCTTCGATATCAGATTACTCAAACTTTTCTAGAACACACATACACAGTCAATATACACACTCAATATTGAGGAAAAAAAAAGAGGTCTCAGTTTCAGACTTACCATTCTTCATCTTTTATATGTGTAAGTTGAATTTGATAAATATTGTGCTTTCTAATCTGGTACTTTCCTTCAGTGTTTTCCTCCAAAGGTAGAAAGGTCACAGTCCCATTAAAGGTATCTGAAAAGATTTGTAAAAAATGGAATATTATTCCATGGTGCAAACCTTCCTTTTGTCTACGTACCAAAAAGCAAAAAGGTTTTATTTCCTTCCTACACTAAGTGCAAACCAGTAAGGCAAGATCTAGGACAAGGCACAAAGAAGAACTCCTAAGGGACGAACAGATTCATTTCTCCGTTCATCTGGCATCCAAAACTACTCAACTGCTTGGAGTCCCAAAGAAACTAACGCTCTTCTGCATGATGTTTTCCTGAATTCCTAATATCCCGATTAGTAAAACTAACCACATTCTTTAAATATGACCATATAGCGAAAGCTATCTAATACAGACATTATCATAGGCATTTTCTAGCCCCAAACTGCTACTTTCCCCATTTCCTAGTAAAAGCAGACTCGTGGGGAGCTCGTTCCAATCTAACAAGCGTAGACACATCACTTTGGCTTTTAATACACAACCAGGGCAGCGTTAAGAGGCACCCAAACGATACGATCAATACCTGGAAGACTCACGGTGTTCAAACACAGCACCTAACGCCTGATTACAACAAAGCAACATCCAGCTTCTCCTGCTAGAGCTCCTAGCCTCAGCACAGCACAAAACCCAGCCTGTGGCCCTGCCTTTTATTTATAGTAGTAAATTTAGTTAGTTAGTTAGTTATAGCAGGAATTCATAACCCTGAGGAGGAGTGACCTTGCGTTTAGGTAAGGGCTCCCATATAATACTGCAAATACGGCAAACACCAGGGGTCTGGGCACAGTGACCATGACCTCGAAAGGCTCCCGCAGCTCTCAGGAGAGCGCCCTGCAGCTGCCCCTCGCCATGGCGGCTCCTCGCAGCGCCCGGGCTTGCCCGGGCCGCCTCACCTTGCACAACGAGCTCCCTGGCGGCGGCGGCGCCGCTGCCCGCCC